GGGGACGTTCTGATTCATGAAGAATAACTCACAACGATAAAGCCAACTGAGTGGATCTTCTGTGCCAGAGAAAAGGGGAAACTCAAAATGCGATCCAGGAGCAGTAGCCATGTGATTCATGTTGTCAGGTGCATGTACCACGGCCTGATCAGGATTGGCAGCTTCTGTTGTTGCAGTTTTACCTCCATCTGCAAGTAATTTTTCCATCAGTTGTTCAAGGCGATCTATGGATTCTTTCAGATTGGAGACTTCTTCCTTTGACGCAAACACCCCATCGCCCATGACGCCGGCAACGGAACCAATGTTACGGACAGCTTGTGTGCAAGATCTCGTCACAGGCCTTCGGGTGAGTGGGAGGGTAGACTGAGCTTTGGAAGGGTTGGCTATGTTTACTGTTTGGGCAGAAAACTAAGAAGAATATAATTATGCAAACTTTTATCAAGTTGGAATTTTTTGTTGAGAATTCCAGAAACTCCCTCAGACTTTTCTTGCTAAAAACTTGCATGCTTTTTCCCTGCATTCAACTGGCCTTTAAATAGGCTTTACAGAGCTTGGAAAATAAAATAAAGAAAACAATTGAACAGAAAACAATAATTCAAAGATTGCAATCAGAAAATGATATATCAAATCTCTAAGGATCTCAAATTCCTGACAGTGACATGTCTATCAGATTTGTCTGATTTATTTGTCTCCCAGATTTGTTTGATTTTATTTGTCTTCCAAATCAGTTTGATTTGCCATTGTGATTTGCTGACTTTTATCTTTCTTTCTTTTACGGTGATACTGACGCCCTGTGAATGCATCATGTGATAGGATTGACATCCTACCTAAATTTAGCACCATACTTATTTGCATGGATTTATAGTGTTAGCTAATTTAAGACAATTACGTGACTTAATTTCATATCACCAACCCCGCAATATGTTATAATAAGGTGATGATGGCAATTAGGGATAGGATTCATCAGTCTTGTCAAATGCCATTTTGTTTTAGTTTGCTTTAAGATTTTACAGTACATGAAAATGAGAGGGATCGACTTGGAAATTGGAATAAGACTTTGTGTAAAGCATCATACATAATGTCCTCTTTCACGCGTCAACTTATGTCCATTTCTTTCATTATTTCTTTGTTCTTTCTTTTCCATAATGACCTCAGAAAAATTGTGTTTTTTTTCTTTGCAGTGCTGCCATCATTCAACAACAATTTTATACCATATGGAGTGTATTAATATCAGAGAGACCCATGGGATGAATCTTCATTCTTGAATACTGTCTGTCCTGTGTATTATGTATTGTCATTCTTGCTCTGCTAGTCACTTTCTCTGAAATGTAGCTCAATATTTTGTGCTTCTTCAAGTGTTCAACAATGCATTCTCAGCCACCCATAACATGTTTGGTTTGGTTATGTTAAGTGGACAACTGTAAATGTCTCATCTTATCATTTGTCCAAATTTAGGTGGCTACATCTCATATTTTTCCATTTTATTTGAGGCAAAGATGACAATCTATTCATTGATAGACATCAACCCATATATGTATTCCATACAAAATTAGGTATGGCAAATGACGCCCGTGAGTGTCCATACAAAATTAAGATGCATTACAGTATTTTCCATTATAAAAAAAAGACGACACTCCATCTTTGAGGGTCCCCAGAGAATTGACTTGACAATTATTTGGGATGTAAATTGAGCTTTGATCTCACTCTAATTGAAAGAGAGTAGGGTTCCATCTCAAGTAATTGCTTGGAGTTGAACTCGGAACCTCTCCCTTGTGGGAACCCTTTCCTACCAGGTGAGCTACGCCACTAGTGAGTATTTTCCATTATCCAAACAGATCCATCCATATTTGAGCAGAGCTGAGATAGTAGTTCCTTATTATTACTACAATACTACCTCTATTTTACGATAGTTAGCAAACAAGGTACATAGTAATTCTCGATTACTAAGAAAAATAGTAGTGAGATATACCCGGAGTAATAAATTAATAATTAAGGTGGAATAGGGAAAACAATTTAGAAAACAGAGAAGGGAAGAATAAAAAGTGAAAAAGTAGAAAGTAGAAGACAAAAATGAAACAAGTGCGAAAAAATATATAAATAGTAAATTAAAAATTTTCAAATATGGAAACGGGTCAAATAATTAAACACTTCACCATATACTAGCCTTGCACCCGTTAGTTACATGGGATTTCAAAGTAACTAATATCAAAGGCTAATATGAGCATGTTGTAAATCTAGATTTTAGAGTTAACAATTTAGTTACTAATAATGTGAAGAAATATGAATGCAAATCAAGTGTTAATGCCAATATAATAACCCGAGAATGAAAGACGCACTGCCCAAAATACTTAAACTCAAAAAATTAATACGGGGTATAAAAGAATCCAAAAACTTTTTAAGTAAAATGGATTAAGTAAAATAAATTACATGCCAAATAGGCAAATAATATCAAATGACCATTGAAAGTTCTAAGAGCCAGGAGTATTTCTACCCAACTATAAATAATAACTCCTATTTAGGGAATTTTTAAACTTTACTCCAATTTTGAAAATTAAGGATTTATTTATTCCTATTTAGGTAAACTCCCTAAAGAAATCATTTAAAAATAACATCTCTAGAACAATATCAACATACTTGTACTTGTATTGATGTTAATGGAACATATGTGTGTGTGTATAAAGACCATGAAATCCATTCGGATATCAGTTATCAGTAGACTATGCATGTTAAATATCTGTCTTATAGGTAGTACTGTTGTAGCACTATCAGTTTGAGACTACAAACTGGTAGAGAGAGTAACAAGTTCCCCAATAATAATAGAAAGAAATCAACAAATACAAATAAGAATACTAAATTTGATTCGAAATGTTATCAAATACAAATAAGAATATCAGTGTATTCGATTCGAATATTAATCAAATATATTCGATTAATTATAGTGATAATATTATAATAATAATAATAGTAATAATACTATAATAACTTTTAAAAGATAGCTATATATATACTCAAAGTGTAGCCCATATATACATTTATGTATACATATTTCAAGCTCATTTGTAATAAATCAGTAGTATCATACGGAGTAAGGATTGTAAAGGAAACAAACAATTTTAATTCGATTCATGATTTGGATTCAAAAAATATGATTTAAATTTGAAAATATAGAATATAAATACGAATACAAATCATATTTTTGGTTCAAGTATCTTTCAAATACAAATACAAATAATTATGTGTTCGATTCAAAATATAAAATTAGAGTCGTTTGACTATGATATATACTTATCAACTTATTTCACACATTGTGAGTATAATTTCTAATATGTGTGTGTTAGTGTTTATCTCAAAAAGTTTGAAATATATTTATATTTATTAATCATATAATTGATTGACTTTAGTTTATTGTGCACAACCTAAAAATGTATCGATCCATTAAATTTTAAAAACACATATTAAGTCATATTGTCATAGCATGCATTTATAACATAAAAAAATATTAAAAAAATTACTTTAAATTCATATTTGAGTAATATTTAACTTATGCTCAAATCGATTCGATATTCATATATGATTCGTTAATTATTCTTATTGTTAAACAAATACAAATACAAATCGAAATTAATATTCATTTCATATTCGGATTCGAAAAAATTAAACAAATACAAATACAAAATCTCACTATTCGACTCGATTCGGTTCGTAACTACCCCAAACGAACAATTTCACCGTCCGTCTAGTTTTTATCGTGACCATACAAATGGACCGGCTTATCCTCTCCAATGAGAGTCTTACACTCTTACTCTTACCTATGATATTTGTTACGTAGTAGAACTTAGAAGTTACATAAGAAAATGGTAAATTAGATAGTTTCGTTTGTAGTTTGAAGCACTACAAATCTCTCCTATTATTCTCAAACTTGCTCAAAATCTTCTGTGTCTAGACTCTGGACTAGAATATTTAATTTAGCATCAAAGAGCGGCCTATTCAATTTCTTTCATTTGTATCTTATAGAAGAACTAGTTTTTAACCCGTGCGTTGCACCGGATAATAAAATTACTGAAGTGATTGTGAGTATAATAAATTATTACAATCTCTCAATTTAATTTGGGAGTAGTTCCAAGAAGTCTACACCTCTTGGTAGAATAAAACAACACAATCTGATAAGTAATATAACGTATTATTAATATGTGATACATGAAATCAAAATTTCACACTTTCAAGGGACATAATTTAAAGAAGCAGTTGTTAATTTTGTTAGAAGTGTTGTTTAATATACATATTAAAATGTCACACAACAAAAGGCGGTACAAATTTAAAATTTTAGTATTATTATACAAATCCATGTTTAAAAATTGACCCAGACAAAAAACTCATAAAAGCTCACTCACCCAAGTCAATCCTGTCTAGATTCGGATCGGAAAAACCTAGATGATCGAGAAAAACCCAATTTCACGTCTTTTCCGAAAATTTTGTATTTTTTGTTTTAAGTATTTTTAATCTAATAAAATTTCAATTCCAATATCATAAAAAGAAAACAATATGTGATAAATGTGTAATTTTTATGACGAAAATAATGTCGAATTATTTCGCAAATCTACAACACAAATAATAGTGTTGATTCTAACAGGATTAGAATTATATTTTGGAATGTTGTGATAGTGTTTTAATGCTTACCAAATATTACCATTATTTGATTATCACAGAGAATACTTGCACTCTGTTTTGTGTGTGTGTTTATTAATTACTATAAAATTTTATAAATATTGACCGGTTTTATTGACGATGATCTAGTTGACTCCCCGAAACCGGGTTGACTGGCCGTGACCCGGTCATTTGGCTTTGTTCTTGATCAACGGATAACACCTTGCCACATCAGTAACCATTGATAAATTGAAAGTCAAATGTTCAATGTAAGCAATTTGAAATAGTTCTGTTATCCTATTTTTTGTTGATTAAAATTAAAATATGTATTAATCAGATCAAAGTCCAATAAATGCGAGATACATGAGGAGAATGAAACCAAGCCCGGCAATTAGACAAAGAACCGGTTAATATGAGAAAAGCTAACTCATGGAGCAATACTATTCGCAGATTGTCTAATATGAGAAAAGCTAATATGAATAAAATTAGCCCCTGTTTCTCTAACATCACCTGCTAGAAGAACAAAAGCCGTTTGGCTTTTTCCCTTCCAAATCTCATAGATAGCTTGAAGTGCGTCAGATTCCACTTATATTGTAGTACACCCATGCATAAAAACCCAAGACAGAGTCTCTCGAATGCATAATAACTCACCTTCCTGTGCTGAACAAAACCCTTCCCACGGCTTCACTACCCCAGCAACAAATGCACCCACAGACTCCGGAAACACCCAGCCAAAATCCCGCCTCACCCCTCCAGTAGACACATTCGTATTTAGCTTGAAAATACCCAAAGATGAGGGCTTCCAAATGGTAGAACCCACTCGTGTAATAGCTCCTTGACTGTTGCAATTTTTGTGCAACAAAACAGAGGGGTTTTTAGCTTGTTTCCGGTCCTGCCAAAACAACATTGCCCTGTCTAAAATTTGCTCCACGTGCTCCTGAACGCCTCTTCAAACACGGTCATTTCGAGCTCACCAAATTCCCCAGCAACCTATAATATTACTAAGCGGGGCTCCTCCAAGCTCCTCGTTTGAAACACCTCTTGAACCCACCCTTGGAAAGAAGAAGCAGTAGCACCTGACACACCTCAGTTCACTTGCTTCCACACATCTCCCGCAAAGCTGCACTCGACAAAAACATGCAATGATGTCTCGCTGCTCACTGCACACCAGCCACACGTCTCAGGACAGTCCACATCTCTTCCTATTCTGCAGCACTGCATAAGTTGGGAGACACCCAGAGCAAACCTGCCAAACAAGATATTTGATTTTAGGAGGCAAATCAAACCTCCACATAGTTGTCCACCCAGTCCACCATTTTCCCTAAAAGTCGCCCCTCAACCTCAAAATCTTCTATGTCTAGACTCTGGACTACAATATTTAATTTAGCATCAAAGAGCGGCCTATTCAATTTCTTTCATTTGTATCTTATAGACGAATTATTAGAAGTATTCTTTGTATAGGTCATGTTAAGATCCGGGATTCCACCCCGAAGGTCAACCTGATAGGTGGAGGAGCCCAAAGTCTTATATAGTGTTTTATTGTTTTATAGCTTTCCGGTGTGGGACAGATACTTTAACACGCCCCCTCAGCCTGAACTGGGCTGGACAATACCGAGGTGTATAAATAGACCAAACAAACCCTTAACAAGCTACCCTTAATCATGAGTGCTAAACAAGCCGTCAAACCACAACTAGAATTGGCTCTGATACCATGTTAAGACACGAGGTTCCATCCTAAAAGGTCAACCTGATAGGAGGAAGAGCTCAAAATCTTATATAGAGCTTTATTGTTTTATAGCTTTTCGGTGTGGCACAAATAACATGTCACGGCTCATGAGCATGATATTTTCTTTATACGCTCGATCTTCTTTCCTTTGGATGATATCCTTGCTAGGAAAGACGTATGTACGAAAAGTTCTTGTAGAAAAATAATTCAATTGAAGTCATTCTTTGTGGGAAGTAATGAAGTATTAATCATTTTCCTTTATACGAAAGGATTTAACATATTCAAATTAAGAGTCACAGACTCACAGCCTTCTTATTATGAATGTTTAGTCGATCATCAACAAAACAAATAATGAATGACATATGACATGCCAATTTCCAACACTGTATAAAACATGGGCTCCATAAAAGGATTGGCTTTGGTATGTGCGTAGAGGTATTTATGTGAAAAATAGATCATCTGCCTTATAGAATGTCTTACTCAAATGGACGAGCCACTCATGTTATGCCATTGGTTTTTTTATCCGATGCCTCAAAATGGCCGAACACTCTCCTTGCCTGCCAAAGCAAGACAGGGGAGAAAAAAATCATATCATCATTTCGAGAATTACGGCATACCTAATATTTATACTGTTTCATCTCGATATGTGAATATACAAAACTATGCACATAACATTATAAATGAAATGCTCAACACACTGCGTGATAAAAGTAAAGCCTCAAGTGGTCACCCGTAACCACCATGAGGTGGGACTTTTTATAAAAGAGTTAAAAGTTTAATTTGGAATATCAATTTGTAATACTTCAATGTATATTAAATTGGAATAAGTAATAATGTATGTTTCAGAAAATAAAGAAAATTAATTAAAAAAACATTAATAATTAATAAAATGACGAAAGAAAAGCAGAAATAAGATGGAGCAGAGTTTAGCCAAAGCTCGTGCTACGCATGATGTTCTTAAAACGTATTCGTCGTCTCCCACGCTGCTAGGAGCGTTGCAATTAATGACTGTTTCCCAGGATACGGTGACTAACGAACTATCGTTTGAGCACACAAACGAAAGTTCCGGTGAACAAGAACAAGTATGAACACTCAGGAATTAATGGACCTGAACGTTGAACATTGAATCGAGCTCGACAGAAGACCCCCACCGTATCTCTTGAGAGATAGATTTTTGGACGACATTCATGTCCGCAAGTCGCCCGCGCACGCAAGTCGCGATTTTTCTTCTCTGTTTCGGGATTTGATTTGCACCCCCTGCGCGCAAGAGAGAGTCTTTCACCTTCGAAATCTTAACTCCTTAAAGGAGGCTTCCCTTTATAAGGGATTGCAAATCCCTTGGGTTTTCCGGTGTGGGAAATAACACACTATAAACTCATCATTTTCCCAGTTTTTCCATTCTAATGGGCAAACTCTGAGAATCAATTTCTCATTCACCCGTTATCCGTTTTGAGTGTACCATCTATCGAATTGTAGCCCTTAGCAAGGGTAATCCGAAACCACTTTGACCCGACCCAAATCGGAAGTGGACCCCACTCAAAGCATTGCCCCAAAATTACCATTTAATGCAATTTTTAACACATTTCTCCAACAATTATTTCATAAAATCCATACTACAATTTATATCAATTTGTAATTTTAAAATTAATCTAGTATATCTGTCATATTAATGTTCAAAAAAAGCTCAATTGGCTAGATCCATTTTTATCATCAGTTTTTGTAATTAAAGAAGTGAAGTGTGCAGTGGCGGAGCCACCCTTCCCTTTGGCTAGTGGTGTCAATTGACACCACTCGATTTTTTTTTCCATATGTAGGTGTATAAAAAAAATTTAAAATTTAAAATTGACACACTAAAAAATAAAAATTCTCTATATAGGTATAGATAATCTTTCATAAATTATAAATTGACACCATCCAACATTTAAAAAATGGGGATCAATTTAAAAATTTTAAAAGTTGGAACACCAAATTGAAAAGTCAGCAAAGGAGAATTGAAAAGTTTGTGCCCAAATCGCTGATTGAACTCCAACTCCCGCTGCAAAAAAAATGATTGAACGTCGTAAGTCACAGTCCCAATTCCCAAATCGTTGAAATCGGAAACCCTCGGTCGCAGTCTGTGCGCAATGGGATATTCTCTTTGGTGAAGTTTCTTCTTTTTGTGAAAAGAATAAAATTTCAATTCCAAGTATGAATGATTTTTATATACCTCATCATGGGACTATGGGAGAGTCCATCGCAAAGTTATCCAAATCACAAACTTACATCGTTACAAAGAGGACTTGTTCTATGTCGTGGTGGATAGACAACACGAGGAGTTGAACAATCGATTCACAGAGATTTCTACAGAATTGCTTCTTTATGTGACTTGCCTTAGTCCTAAAGACACTTTTTCATCTTTTGACAAGGACAAGTTGATTCGCATGGCTCGATTATATCCTTTTGACTTTTCACCGATAGATGTTCTTACTCTTGAGAGTCAACTTGAAACTTTTATTCTTGATGTGCGCTCCAACTCTGCATTTATAGATATTACAGAAGTTGATTCTTTTGCTCAAAAATTGGTGGAGAAAAAGAAGCATATTGTGTATCCATTAGTTTTTTTACTTGTGAAATTAGATTTGCTTTTACCGGTGGCCACCGCAACTGTGGAAAGAGCTTTCTCAGCCATAAAGTTCGTGAAGAACATGTTGCGCAATCGAATGGGGGATGCTATGATGAATGATGTCTTAGTTACTTTTATTGAAAAAGATATATTCAAAAGTATTGACAAAGAAAAAATTGTACAACGTTTTCAAAATATGAAAACGCGTCGTTGACAGTTGTGAATTACTCCCTCCGTCCCGCTAAGATTGTCTCATTTTACCTTTTCGGGAAGTCCCACTAAGATTGTCCCATGCCAAATTTGGTAAAGTTTGTGTGGCTCTAAATCATTCTTACGTTATTCTTACTTTATCAATTTAATATCAACCACACAAAACCACTATTCTTAATAATCGTGTCACCTTCTCTTTTCCCAATCTTAGTGGGACGGAGGTAGTAGTACTTTAATTTTACCAATGACAATATTTTCTTTTTTGCTTTATATATGTACACATTATTATATAATATTGTTTTGCTAAATTGACACCACTAACACGAACTTCTGGCACTGCCACTAGAAGTGTCACTGGAACTTGCGTTATTCCAATCGTCATCCATGATTTCTACATGTTTTCTTCGTAATATGTTCAACTTTACAAAATTGTCCTCTACTAGAGCTTGACCGTTGGATTGTTATGATTTGTCACTTTTGGTTTCTAAACTTTTGTTTCTAGATTCTGAATGGTGGAGAACTTGGTGGAGAACTCCTTTGGAGGTCCGGAGATGGACAAAATTATTTGGAAAATGTGATTTGAAAATGGAAAGATGAATGGTAAGATGAAAGAAAGAAGTATAAGCATAATTGATAAGATGAAAGGGAAATATAAGCATAAATGAAGGGTCTTTGTTTAATTAATTCAAGTATCTCTTTTTGTACCTCCACAATTTTTCATCATGTTAGAGTATAGTAAAATTGTTGAGTTTTTGTCATTTTTGGTCCCTTGACTATTATGTCAATGACACTTTTGGTACTCGACTTCTAATTGTTCCATTTTTAGTCCTTGACTATTGTGCTAGAGACACTTTTAGTCCCTGACTTCAAGGTTTCCACATTTAGTCCCTGAGTATTGTCATATTGACACTTTTAGTCCTTCCATTATAAATTTGACACAATAAGTGAAGGACTAAAAAAGTAACTATTATAATAGTTGAAGGATCAAATGTGTCACTTTTATGAAAGTTGAAGGACTAAATATGGAAATTTTCAAAGACGGGTACCAGAAGTGTCTCTAGCGCAATAGTCAAGGACTAAAAGTGGAAAAAATCAAAGTCGAGTACCAAAAATGTCAATGACATAATAGTCGGAGGACTAAAAGTGGAAAAAACTCTAAAATTGTTTACCCATCGTACTTGATCATTTTAGTCACGTCAGCTACAATTGTAGACTTACAACAGCTCATCATTTTTTAACGTCTGTAATAAGAATGCACTCAAGTGACACAAAAAACCAAGTTGGATAGACTATTTATGCTCCGATATACTCGTATAAAATCATACTACAAAACCGTCCTTTAAGGGACATCCGAAAAAATTGGAATTAAAAAAAACAAGTATCGAGAAAATAATATTGAAATAAAATTTTTCTACAAAACTCTTCCTGGTATCGAGGTAGTTCTGGAGGAGGACGAGCTCTTGCAATATGAGTGAATACCAACTCCACCACCGTCGGAGCGGGCGACCAAGGCTTCATGATCCAGCACTGATATAAACTCTCAACTGCAATCCGTTCATCTGCTAACGTAATCTTCTTCGATGTAGTTACAATTCTAAGCGTTAGAACACTTGTAATCAGAATAATATGTCGCTCCAGACCCATATTGATAGGGGTAGCGGAAATTCTTAATCCCTAATTTCTACAAAGAGATGAGACGACCGCTCCGTTTTTAGAAAGAAGTTAGAGCTCTCCTCTTGTGGTTGTTTCCCCTCTCGTACTAATGTTAATTAGGGAGATGGGAGTGGGGTAGCAACATTTACTTTTCCAATATTAACTAAAGCGTGTCAGTTGAGATACAATTTCAGCTGCCTAGTGCCTGGTTAGACTAGTTACGCTTTCCGTGGCCTATAGTTGGGTTCACATGATTCACATCAGAAAGTGTACACTTATACTTTACCATTAAAAGAAACTTTTAATTTGACATACAGAAAATACGGATTAACATTAAAGTCAACTACTGAATTAAAGAAGGGACATTACTACATATACAGTAATACAGAAACACCGACGTGGCAAAAACTTAGCACACAAAACTAGACTTTTAATCCGCCCTGACCGGGCGGTTAGTACGACGGTACGACGCCGTGAGATCCGTCGTGAGGCACGACGAAGGATCCCATAACTTTCACCTCGGAGCGCTTCGCGAACCTCCCCTTGATCCTCGGCCGGGTCTCTGCGTACGCCTTTCTGGAGGCATATCGGATCGTCTTCTCGAATTTCCGGTTCTTTCTCTTCTCTCTGTACCTTAGCACCCTCGCTTCTCTGTCCGCTCCGGTCAACGTATTGGGGACAGCGTCGCCGCCGACGAAGGCTCGGTCACACGCGGCGTCAGACACGTCCGTCATGGCATTGTGGTCAGGCACCACTCCGACGTCCAGAGATGCAGACGAGACCTGATTTTAACAAATGCATATCATCGATCAATCAGATTGAAACTATTTTACCCGGTAATTAGATAACGACGGCTAAATATTTACCATACAAATTCACAGATTTAGATTAGTACGCAATAATTATGTTTCGGACATACGCTTTGGCTGATGGATTGAGCGGCGAAGTTGTATAAAAAAGGCGGCTTAGATCCGGCGGCGAATTCGGTGTCGTACGCGGGGAATCCATCGATTACCGGGTCGGGTACGTGACTCGTCGGAACTTTCTTCAGCTCAGGCACTACGCCGTCGCAGTTGTAGTTTTGATTGGTGTAGCGGTTGTGGCTGTGGTGCTTCTGGTCTACTCCGCCGCAGGAAATCATTTCCATATGAAGATACGGATCCTGATCCACATCGCCGAACAGGTACTCTGCAGTTTCGTACTCGGATCCCTCCAAATCTACTGATTTGAGGTTATTCGGATCCGGAATCAGCCACGACGCCGCCTCCGCCGCCTCTTCCTCCTCCACGTTCTGGTTGTCCGACTCGCTACTGACATATTTGTCGGAGGAGGACACGGACGCGGATCCGTGAGCTTTCGAGGACGCGTCGTCTGCGGAGTGGTAGAACGGCACAACAGGGAGGCGCTCGTGGCGGCGGGACAAGGGGTTCGCCGAGTGGATGTCGCGGTCGCAAGTGACGCAGAGCGCGGCGTCGTCAGCCTTGCACGTGAAGCTAGCCGGAGCCTGCTCGCAGACGTCGCAGACGGAGACGCGCGCGTGGCGGGACGCGAGCTTGTTGGCCGCGTGGATCGTGGAGTCGCAGTTGCCGCAGAGGAACGCGGCGTCGGCACGGCAGAAGACGGTGGCTGAGGCCGTCCGGCAGTAATCGCACAGTTTGGCGGTCAAGCTCCAACTCTCCGCTCCCATCTCCTCTGAAGCTTTGATTTTCCTGATTAGTCTAATGCTCAAACCAACCCCTCTCTCTCTCTCTCTCTATCTTACCCTGTCCGTGAAGTACTGAACTGAAGTATAAAGTGCTGGTTGCAAGTCGCTCTATTCCACTTTTATAAACTGCGGAGTAATAATTATCCTTCCAATAATGAGTACCGGAAAATGCAGAGTAAATTTAATAGGATCCGTACTGACTGGATTGATTTCAACCAGACTGGGTGGGGTGAAGTCACAATTGCTCAAAAGATAGAATGAGCAATTCTAAATTGCAATCTGAGTATCTCACAATATTTTCTCCGCGCCCAATTAAATTTTACTTTAATTGGGCACAATTATTCACTGTTTAAATATTGTTTTGATGTAGATAATTTGTCAATCAAGAAAAATATTGAAATGTGAACTTAATTTAGGGATTGTCCAAAAAGGAAAATGAGAATTTAATTGGGAGACGGAGGGAGTATTATATTACTCATGTCTCACTCACAAATGAATATGAAAAGGACACAGTTTATTGAGAAATGCGAATTTATATGATTAATATGAATTGATAATTAAAAATAAAGTAACAATGAATAAAAATAAAGTAAAAATGAATTAGAATTATACAAATTTAACAAAATTAATTATGAAACAATTTTAAAAAGGACCAAAAAAGAAAGATAAGATAATTTTAACAAGACAGAGATTAATAGTGTAAGTTTAAATCACAGCATGATCTTAAGTGTGACTAAGAGCCCGTTTGGTAGCACAAAAATCGGTTGATTTGGCTGTTTCTGCTGAAAGTTCTTAAGTTCAGCGCGCAAAAGCAAAAGTTACGTGTTTGGTAAAAAAGTTGGTTGATAAGTCTGATAAGCCGAAAATCAGTGGTTCCAAACGGCCTCTAAGATAACGAATATCACATTGAATCATGTGTACTTTCAATAATAAACAAAAGGACTCAATCGAGTTGACTCGCTCAACCATTGTTTAGCTACTACAATGACACAAATGCTCGCATTACATGGAGATATACTACCTTCGTTCTTAAATAAATGCAACATACCAAATTTACACTATTCACGTATTCTATTTTGAATACATTTTATTTATTGATGTATTAATATATATTTTTGAAAAAAATATTACTAAATTTGTCTCATTGTAAATTTTCAAAATCCGATTTTTTTTTTAATTTTTTACTAATAGAGAGTTGTATATATTAATGGTCAAAGTTGTGCCTCGACAAATGTGAAATGTTGACCGTTATACTTATTTAAGAACGGATGACACTTGATATAGTGTTAAATGTATCCCTCCTCCCATTGTTTATGAAATTATCTTCAATGCATATATGAATATTGAGATTCATAAAAATAAATCAAAAAATTAGATCTTTTTCTTTTTCCATGATCTTATCTTTTTTCTTCTCTACAACGTCAACCATATTGTACGTGTATATGTAGCCGTTGTACTTGAAGTTTTGAAGAAACAATAAACTATAAAAAAACATAATAGTAATAAACAAAAGATGTATGAGTATTTAGTATTTTGAGCCCAAGCTAAATTGTATGGCTCGATCGAAGTTAAATAAAAGACATAGCCTAGTGAAAATCCGTTTGACATAAATGAATATATCCTTGTAATTATACTTTTCAATACCTCATCAAACAAACACTCACTTCCTCTTTCATCAAGAAAAGGATTATTCAATCAAATATACATTAAAACAATAAACTAATGAGGTGACGAGTGTAAATATGTTATTCGTCACCACATACACTCAAAAGGTCTAAAACAAATATAATCATCTAAAATAATTATAATTTAAATAAACCCATTTTTGTTTTAATTTAACGCTCTTAATAATTAATTAATACTCCGTAGTTCATTAGTTATGACTTATGAGTAATACCCCTTACCTCTAGAATAGATGTTATGTTGAGATGGATTTATGAATTAAAATTAAAGGTATGTAAATACTACTAGTTGAACATAATGGGCTACTTCGTGTTCTAAAAGGGCAAAAAAAACAAGGTTTATTGAAGAGTTGATCATTAGAAGCGTGAAAAAGGGGAATTTTATAGATGATTTTTTTTTACAAAAAAGAATGATTAAGCTTAAAAAAATACTTTTATAAGCATTCCCTTGACTTTTGTGCTGGGGTGAAAGGGGATATACGTTCCTGTCTGAGGTGCTACATTGTCAATACCCACCCCTCTTATTGTTATCTACGTGTTGAAATTAATGTCATGAAAAATAGAAATAATGAGCTGAGGAAAATGCATACGCAGTAAATCCGAGCCCAACAAAGGCGTTGCATGTCTCCTTAAGACGATTTTGCCCGACTAACGTAGCAAATTTCTCCCAGGATTGAACGGATTCGTTCCCGTTGACGGGACTCCGGCGAACTCAAAGATGCAAGTATTTTAAGAGTAATGGAGAGCGAAGGAGAGAGTATTTGGATGCCAATTTTCAGATGTCCCTTGTGCAGAACTCGTTGGGTATTTATAGATTTTTGGCTAGAAAACTCTCACCCAAAAGGCACCTATTGAATGAAAGGTGACCTTTCTTTCAATTTGAAGGGTCATGCCTCTCCTCAAAGAGATTAATCCAAAAACGGAACACACACACACACACACACACACACATATATATATATATAGAGAGAGAGAGAGAGAAATCTTCCGGTCAGGAATTTCCTGACCGGAGTGCCGTCCTGTGACACCGCACCCGGATGTACTTGAATTTGAAACCTGATGTGTATTTGAATTTCCTAGCGAATAAATTCCGTGTAATTGATTAGTGTATTTAATTAACGTGCGATTAATTAAATTATTTATCGGGTCCTGTTGAGGTTTTGTCCCGTAGATCCGGAAGCCCAACATAAACTTCGGATATTAAGGACGATTAATACGGTATAAAAGTGAATAAATATATAAAACTGTATAAACTAGCTATTTTTACGTGGAAACCCGGAAAGGGAGAAAACCACGGGACTTTTTAGGCTAACGTCCAAGCCCGCTCTTTCTCATTAATATCCTCCCATCACTCATTTACATAGTAAAACAGTATAACTCCATTAATGAAGCTTGAATAACTCAGCTATAAAGATGAAGAAATAAGCAGGGAGGGAGAAGAGAAGCAGAGATCAGATCTTTAATTTGGAAGCCAAGCTTCCTATTTATAGCCAAGGGGGAGGGTTCCCTCTTCTTCTGGGCCGGAAAGGCCGGTTGGGCCTTAAATGGGCCTAACTTCTATTCTTTCGGTCCAACTGGCCGAAATAAGCCGGGTAAGCCTAAATGGGCCTCGCCAAATGGGCCCCGTACCAGGGTGGTGTCTTGGGCATCTGAACAGTAGTAGGCCGGGGTAATATACCCAACACAAGTCCCCCAGTTTCTTGAGTAGTGAGCCTGTGAATCTGCTCGAGAAAGTATATTCTCGTTCACGTCCTTCCCTATCTTCCCTGAATCAGTGTATGACTTGCCTTGTAGTGCAAGTATAAGGGATGTGCAATTCCGCACTAGGCACGACGGTGCTGAAGAGCCACCCACTCGTGCTGCATAATACGACAGTCCCGACCCTGAATGGCATGGGTGGACTTGACCGAGAAGAAGGCACGACGGCGCTGTAGAGCCAGCCGTTCGTGCTGCATAAAAGCGATGATCGCCATCCCAGAGCAAGGATAGACGAGCCCGTCAGAAAACCATGCACGACGGTGCTGTGGAGCCCGTACGTGCTGCATAAGAGCGACGGTTGCCATCCTATAGCAAGGATGGACGAGCCCGCCAGAAAGCCAGGCACGACGGTGCTGTGGAGCCCGTACGTGCTGTATAAGAGCGACGGTTGCCATCCTATAGCAAGGATGGACGAGCCCGCCAGAAAGCCAGGCACGACGGTGCTGTGGAGCCCGTACGTGCTGCATAAGAGCGACGGTTGCCATCCTATAGCAAGGATGGACGAGCCCGCCAGAAAGCCAGGCACGACGGTGCTGTGGAGCCCGTACGTGCTGCATAAAATAAGCGATCGTCATCCTAGATTAAGGATGGACCAACATGACTCGGACAGACATGGACTTGACTCGACTCAGACAGACCTGGACTTGACTCAGACGGACATGGACTTGACTCGACTCAGACAGACCTGGACTTGACTCAGACGGACATGGACTTGACTCGACTCAGACAGACCTGGACTTGACTCGAGACCACTGCGGGCCATCATGAATTCACATCACCTCCTAGCCAATTATATCCCCCGTTCGCTTGCCTTCGCCGAACGGGTCGTTCTCCCCTGGTCGTTCCAAACAATAGTTCCATTCGCCCGTTCGTCCCACTAGAACGGTCTGATGTACAACGATGATCACGTCGTGCCGAGGTGGCTGATCGTAGAGCTACAGAAGCGGTCAGATCATCTGGATAATAGGTCATTTCTGCTACAAGTCAGCACCAGGGTTAAGGTGCAAGCTGTTCGGCTTATTTCCGCCATTTGTTCGTAGTTTCCTGATCCGCAAGGTATCACCTCTTGCTGATGTAACTTGTTCGTGTTATCATCCGTGTTCTTCCTGATCCGCAAGGCAATCACCTCTTGCTGCCTTGTAGGCCCAAGGCTGATGTAACTTGTTCGTGTTATCATCCGTGTTCTTTCTTATCCGCAAGGCAATCACCTCTTGCTGCAAGACAGTTTCACAATTTGTGTAGTGTCTGCCATCTTCCAAGCCCATAATTCCGATGCATACCGTCGGTTTTACCGTCCGGGGTCATCCATATCATGAGGTTGAGATGTCCATCCTGGACCATTGAAAATAAGGCTCCCAAGTCGGGTCTCCCCCTTATTCTCTGCCAAAATGGAGACTCGCCTCTTGGTTACAGCTCGGGTTCCACCATAATAAATCACTACATCGTGGTTCGGGCGAGCTGCATAGCCAAGGCAAGATTTTAAGACCAGAGTCCCGATCCCCCGCTCGGTCACCCTATGACTTCGGATGCCGCCCGGTTCGTCCTACTCAAGATCTTTTACACCATCTCCCAAGCTGAGTCCGGGCTTGGTTAACCTGCATCTTTTTTTTTTTTTTTTTTTTTTTTTTTTTTGTGCTGAGATGGTGGCTCCCCATGGATCGAGACAAGTGGTATCTATCGATCGAGGTGAGACTTTATGGAATGTGAAGATGCCTCCTAAGCAAATAATGTCGTGCTGTGGGGCTGATCATGATATGAGGAACATGAATAATCCAAGGGTCTTGCGAGCGCCCTCTGCTCAAGGACAATGGCAGCAATTGCGGCAGCGGTCCACAAAATGTAGCCATGCTGAAAGTCAAGCAACGGTCCTCATCCGCGCAGTGCGGGGACGAGGCCGGTCTTCAAATATGATAATGGCACCGTACCAGAGGGTCGGTGGCCATGTAATGAGGTCGCCACTGGAGGCTGATCGGAAAGGAACAAGCAACGGTCCTTATCTGTGCAGTGCAGGGACAAGGCCGGTCTTCAAATATGATAATGGCACCGTACCAAAGGGTCGGTGGCCACATAATGATGTCGGCGCTGGGGGCCGATCAGAAACAAATAATCAACGGTCCTCATCCGTGAGGAGCAGAAATGAGGCCGGTCTTCCAAATGATCACCATGCCGAGCCAGAAGAGTCGGTTGTGGTGAGAGGAAAGTCGGCGCTGGGAGGCCGATCTGTAAATCCGAGGGTCTTACAGGCGCCCTCAGCCCACAATGTTGCTCTAGATACCGAACGGCGAAGGCCGGATTGCCAGTCAGGTAGCGTAATCTGAAAGCTCGTGTATCGTATAGTCCATAGAACTTCCCTTCATGTGTTGTGACATCTATACATTTGTAGTCTCTTCTTTTCTCAATTGTCCATGATTCCTTCTACACACTAGTAACCTCACCTTTTTTTTTTTTTTTTTTTTTTTTTTTCTCTCATTTTTTTTTCCTTTTTTTTTTTTTTTTTTTTTCTCTCTCTTTTTTTTTTCTCTTTTTTTTTAACCACGTATATCTCTGCGTTTCACAATCTCCCCGTCCGAGCTGGTCGAACGACTCTAAATGTAAATATTCCTTCTTTTTGTTGCCAATCATGAGCGTCTCTGCGCGTCACGTCGAACGTCATGAACATCTCTGTGCATCATGAACGTCTTTGAATAAATGTGATTCTTTTCTTGTTGCCGGGCATGAACGTCTACGCGCTTCATGCCGAATCGTCATGAACATCTACGTGCATCATGACCTCCCGTTCGAGAATATCTCAAGAATCTCACTGCACAGTAAGCATGGTAATACGGCCGAACGGCCGGACAACATATACAAGTATATACAATTACTCATGTATAACATTTCCCTTTTATTTTTTATTTTTCATCCATGACTATCGGCCGAAGCGGTAATAATAACCCTTGGCCTAGATTTATTTCTTCCCGTACTGGGTATAGTTTCCGTTCGGGCATTTAATGCCGAACGAGACCTTGAGTGGTCTTCGAAATTAAAATACGTCATCGGGGACACTTCAGCCAATTAATTTGGCCCGATCGGGGGTGGACTGATACACGCAGTCAAACCAAACATTTATTTAAAACGTTGGTGATCTTATCTATAAAGCTCCGTGCAGCACTGCGTATCTAGGGAATTTTAATTCCTTAGTAAATAATGGTTATTTAATTACCAATTAATACTTTTCAAGTATTAGCCCCCCAATGTCGAGCGGGATGTAGGTCCCTTTGACGTTAAAAACGTGTCGCTGGAGTAATGCCGCTCGGGGAACTCCGATCGCTCCACAAAATCAATCATTTAATTTTAAAATGGACCCATCACCGGAGCTTCGCTGGGTCATTATTCAATTTCGGGGTACTTTGCCCCTCAACATGCTATCTGAAATTAATTAGCAACTGAGAAAATTGTGGTACTTAGCTGGGTAGGCTGATCTTCAGCTGCCAGACCAAGTTTTTGGCCTGGATAATTTTGCTTGTTCGAATAAGATCCAGCCCAATGTTTCACTTTAAGTTCCACATCCCAAGGAACGGCTGAAAACCATGCTTCTAATTTCATTTTCCGTTGACAGATTATTTTGATTTGGTATATCATTGCTTCCAAACTCAATTCCGGTGTCAAGGCCCGACCCTTGGACTCCATTTAATTTGGGCCCATCTGGGATACCCAATTCCATTCGCACAAAACGGAGCACACTGAAACCTTTCATGATCATTCATCCAAGCCGTACCGCAACGAGTGTTTCATCCAAATCCAGCCTGGTGCCGAACGGTAAGATCGAGCGGCAGTTCCAGAATCTCGAGCGGCAAGTGCCATGCGGCACAGTGGCAATGCATAGCTGGGCATCAGACGGCTGATTTGCCCGGACGGAAGCTGCTACCTCTGGCTGAAAGGGCATTAGTCGGGCAGAACGGGATTCACCACCCTTGCTCGAATGACGAGGGGGTCGTCCCGAAGCTAGATAGCGTCTGACACGCCGGTCTTAGTAAGAGATGAAGAATCCCAAAATTCCCCGTTCGGGAATGGTTAGAATAGGTGGGCCTTGTTCCTCTGCAATTGGTGTTTCATCGATCGGTGTTTGGTCAACCGGGTTATCTGGGTGTGGGACCCTAGGATACCGGTCAGGGAAGGGCCACCGTTCGGGACGATGATCGATTGAGGCTGCTGAAGCCCCTGCACTTTGAGAATAGGTTGAAAGTTTTTCTACCGAACGGCAGATACCGTTTGGTTGAGCAAGAGGCAGTGAGGTAGTTCCCTGGAATTCATTTTGGTGTTGTTGCTTGCCCCGATAAGGAGCCCGTTCGGGGGCGGTGCTTCTTCCTTGTTGGGGCTGCGTGGCCTTTCCTGCTGATCTTACGGACTGGTCAGGCGCTCTAGCTAGGTTGGGTCCCCTCCGGTGCCCGTTTGGGAAGTTCTCGTTCGACGTTCGGTGCTTATTAGCTTCGAGTGCCTTTGACGTTCGGGAAGTTCTCGTTCGGGATCCGCTAGCTTTCGTCGAGTAATGAACATGGGCCGAACGGGTTTCAAGTCTCGTTCAGGCGTCGTCGTTGACTGGGTACAAATGGATACAGGGCCTGCTTGGCGGAAAATCCCCCGCTAGGCCCCCTGCTAAGTTGAGACTGTTGCTCTGGTGGCTTCTTTGACTTCCTTTTAGTTGTTCGTCCTGGCGTTCGGCGTGTTCCCGTTCGGGAAGTAGGGGGTTGGTTCTTCGGATGACCATGAATTCGGCTCGTGGTTGAGGCTGCGTTGATTCTCTGAGGTGGCCGGCGATCCCATAGCATGGCTGTATGGATTCCTGCCCGGGGAGTCTTCCTTCGAGAAGGTGTATGTGCTTTTGGATAAGAGCCCACCTGTCAAGTCATGAGTCATGACTAGTGTTGTCAGGCTTTCCCACGTGAAATCATGGAACTTCTCTCTTTTTCATCAATAAGTGAGTACATGGGTCCCACTCGTCATCTTCCCCTATTGCATCTGGAATTTCTTCTCTATTTTCTCCTTCGTTTCTTGCTGAAATTAGTAGCTCTTGGTATCAAAAAATTTGCAGATTCATATCAGAAAATTTGTCGAGCATCAAGAACACATGAATCTTTCTGAAGCGGTTCCCACAGACGGCGCCAATGTTGAGGTTTTGTCCCGTAGATCCGGAAGCCCAACATAAACTTCGGATATTAAGGACGATTAATACGGTATAAAAGTGAATAAATATATAAAACTGTATAAACTAGCTATTTTTACGTGGAAACCCGGAAAGGGAGAAAACCACGGGACTTTTTAGGCTAACGTCCAAGCCCGCTCTTTCTCATTAATATCCTCCCATCACTCATTTACATAGTAAAACAGTATAACTCCATTAATGAAGCTTGAATAACTCAGCTATAAAGATGAAGAAATAAGCAGGGAGGGAGAAGAGAAGCAGAGATCAGATCTTTAATTTGGAAGCCAAGCTTCCTATTTATAGCCAAGGGGGAGGGTTCCCTCTTCTTCTGGGCCGGAAAGGCCGGTTGGGCCTTAAATGGGCCTAACTTCTATTCTTTCGGTCCAACTGGCCGAAATAAGCCGGGTAAGCCTAAATGGGCCTCGCCAAATGGGCCCCGTACCAGGGTGGTGTCTTGGGCATCTGAACAGTAGTAGGCCGGGGTAATATACCCAACAGGTCCATTATATGAGAATGGGCTACCAAATATTTAGTTGGGTCATCGCGATAATTATAGAAGTCCAATGAAGTGCCAACTAAAGTTGATAAAAATATTTGGACAACCCGAGTGCTATTTTGGCCCAACCTACCGAAAATAGCAGGAATAATTGGGAGGGACTTCCTACACCCACTTGGGGTATTCTACCAATCACGTTGGACTCAAATAATGGGGAAGGGAACATGATGGGAATGGTTGTGCGGACATGGAAGGAGGAGGAAGCCTCCTTGAGACAAAAAAATATCACCCATGACCCCATCACCAAATAATTTTGGTTGATTGACTAAGTATGCTTCCCCCTACCCTTTGCAATCATTCGGCCAATACAAGGAGGAGGAGAGCTCAAGGAAGGACTCTCACAAGTTCCAAGCTTGAAGGAAGCATCACAAAAGAAAATCCAAGGAGGAGAGGGTTGTTCTTGAGGTAAGAACACAACTAGTATTTCTTTAACTAGTATTATTTTGTATGATTTTTAAGAAATCATATGGTGGATTAAACATGAAGTTCTACACGTTTAAAAGTGGAGAATAATGTTATAAAGTGGTGGTATTTAACTTAGAAGAGTTGGTGAATCGATAGGAGTCGGAATCGCCTGAAACCGCCACTTATAGGGAGCTGTTCGTAGCTGCAGACCACGAAAGCCGCCCACCTTTGGCAAAAGCCGCCCGGCTTTCGTCTGCTGTCCAGATTTTTCATCTCCAATCGGTTTAGAACGGGGACTGATCGGAGGGCTTAACAAAGGCAACTATTTCAGCACTTCATAAGGTGACGATGGCTGACTATATTGCTTATAATCTTTGGGTTAATTTCATGAGATTACCTAAGGTAATTAAATATGTTTTTAAGGATTATTAATGATTAATAATGCCTAAGAATGAGAAGACTATTGTCTCTAAGGAAAAGAAGCATAATATACAAATTTAAGAATAAATTGTGTATGATTATGTTTTATAAGCATGTTGGATTGATGAGAAATTAACTATATAAACTATATGTTGAAATATAATTTTAACTTCATATAAAAGTATATGAGTGATTAAAAATTATATGTTGTATATTGATGTGAACTATATTTTCAATGGAAAATTAGTTTGGGAGTTGTCCATATGACTATGAATTGAAAACTGATTTTGTTGGAATTTATCCGACTAGTATTAAGATACTAGTCGGGGTATTGGAATAAGAATATGCTAGAATTGATCCAAGGTTTGGATTGTGAAATATGGAGCCTTAAGTAGTCTTAAGAGATGTTAAGGTGTATAAGTATGAACTTTAAGTTATACTAGGGGTAGGCCTTAAGGGATACCCAAGGTGAAGTGAATAATAAATTGATCCTAGATGTAGGATTTGCCTACGGGTGTATTCGGTAGTCCTTGAGGATAGCCGGTAGAATATTGGTAAATAGTAAGGACCATGGCCCTTCCCGAATCTAGAGAGCGGGGTTGGATAGCATGGACTTACATCGTGATCACGGGTTAGGGTGGAATCCGAACCGGAGACCTTACGAGGCTCCCGACAGCGGTAACACTTAAGATAGGACCCCGAATGGACCTTACCTTCCTACGGGACGATGGGTATGAGTTCAGGGGCGGGATGTTGGACTCCGGCCCGAGGGCCCGATGAGGCCTCGGAGAGCGGTGACAAGTCTCGTAAAGGATGATAAGACCTATGGGCGGTGTCGTGCTAACGACGGGTATAATGAAATATATGAAAAGGGGGCCGTGTGTCGACAAATTTGTTAGTACCCAATTTTGATAGATTTTGATGATGCCACTATACTCCAATTTAGTACATTGTGTCCTAATTAAGTTAGAACATTCGTTTTCAAATTTCTCATAAGTGACAAAAATAAATGTACAATCTTTGAGTCTAATGAAATATTACCGAAGAGTAAAAATGCAATAAGGTAATAGGATATTTAGATCCTACCGGTATAGGTCATTTGGCTCAAAGATTAATTAATTGTCACATTTCTTTGTACTCGGATATCATACATTGAATGTGTATGATTGGAAGACAAAGCTTGACCGGCATTAAATACTGAATCAAGTACACGGACCTACAGCATGAGACACATGAAGTAATCCACCGGCTACCAATAAGTGTAGGCAACTTCGATAAATGATCCAGCACAAGAAGACAAGTGTACAACTTATCCTTGCCAGAATTTCAACGCCAGGGATTAATTCATCTCAACCAACGGATGAGATTAATCAACTATGGAGGCCTATAAATATAGGTAGAAGCATAAGTTCTAAAATAAGCTTGAGCATCCTAAGTAGAGAAATACTTCCATTAAAGCATATTCAAGCTATCTAGCAAAAGAGAAAGTGCAAACTCAACTTTACTCTCTGCTTAGACTCATGCTTCACTAAGCTCTTAGATTAGTTCAACACTTTCGTATTTTAGAGCTTAGTTCTTAGTTGGAGATTAGAACTTTCTTGTATCAAACTGTTGTAAACACTTAGGAGAACAGTTGTTCTGATCCTAAAGTGTGGTTAGATAGATAGAGTACCTTTTGATCCCCACTGGATCAATAGAGAAAAGTCTAAGGACTGAGTAACCTTGAGTGGTGTTATACTCATTGTGAAAAACCTTCAATCTAGGCCTAAGTATTGTAAAGGCTAGATTGGCACTAAGTGTATTGGGCTAAATACTTTAGTGAAATCCATCTGAAATAGGGTGGGACTGGACGTAGGAGGATTACACCACCTCTGAACCAGGATACATCGTGTGTTAATTTTACTTCATTCAACAAAGCACACACCCAGCACTTCTCGTGATTGTAGTTTGCCAGCAGCATCTTAAGCAGTTGTCTTAATTGACCCAACTGCTTATCCTTCTGCTTAATTACTCACTCTCTTTGAGACTATCTTCACACAGTCCACTTGCCAAAGCATTACTAAAAAGGTTGTTATATCAGTTCCCGGAAATTCACTTTCTAATCATAGCAGGTGCCTCAGCAGTCTACTCAGTACCATCCAACTGCTGAGCTCTCTGCTCACATACATATATTTCCTTTAAACAACTTCACCAGATCCTCATAACATCATCAACACAAAGTTTTGCTGAAACGGATCTCTGAAAATCTGCTTATAACCTAAGCAGGTGGCTCAACAGTTCCCTCAATACCACCCAACTGCCGAGACCACTGCTCTAGTTAGACTTCACCTTAACCTTACTAAAGCACTTTTTCAGACATCCTTCTTCATTCTAAACAACGTTTCACCATCACTTTCATCATAGAGTCAATATTTCTTTAGCAGTTACCTCAGCAGTTCCCTGCTATCTAGCCAACTGCCAAGCTAACTGCCAAGCCAACTGCTAGCTATCTAAGTCCAATCTTCCCCAAATTAGAAAGTGGTCAAACACTTATTACATAAAGGGTAAAGACTTCCGCTGTGCATCTATTAATCTCTCAAAAGATTATAGATCAACTTTTCTAGAGGGAAAACTTTGTAAAAATGAAAAAGATTTAAAAGTCTATTCATCCCCCCTCTAGACTTTTACCCTATCCGGGATCATCAAAATTTATTAATTAACTTATTATGAAGATAATAAGGGTTAAAGAAGAAATACTATTATGTTATCATATCACTCTATTTGAGGGTCTTAGAAGTTGAAACATTGATTATACTTAGTATAGTTGTCATTGTACTTGTCAAATGCTTCCAAGTACTGACCTCCCCTTCACGGGGGAGGCCACCTCACAGTTTCAGGTAGGAGTTGAGCTTGCTACCGGTGCCCGTTGCTTCGGGAAAATCAAGGAAGGAAGACGTGGTTCGTGCTTCCTCCGCCTCTGTTTTAAAAATATTTAAATTAATACTCATGGATTTTATTTTTGAATCATTACTTGGGGGCTTGTATGCCCATGTTTGCCAAAGTGTGGCATAAACACTTGTATTAAATATTTCCGCTGCTTTTAATGAATATTTTACATTATGTTTGTTTATGGATGTACTATGTGTGAATGGTATTCAAGACGCCTAGTATAGTATGGATGAGTAGGACTGCGGTTGACTATTCGTACTATACGGCGGGTTGTTGACGTGTCCGGTAGGTCCGGGGTGTGACACGTCCGGCCTCCTCCTTTTGGGGGCCTTCCCGTTGGTAGTTTTTGCTCAAAATTTTTTTGTATGTTCCTCATCAAGTTTAGTTCATCCATACCAAATTTCAGCAAAAAAATCAATCAGAAAGGTCCTCAAATGTTTTTTGCAAGTTAACTGGTCCGGAAAAGGGTCCTTCCCGTTGGTAGTTTTTGCTCACATTTTTTCTGTATGTTCCTCATCAAGTCTAGTTCATCCATACCAAATTTCAGCAAACAATTCAATCGGAAAGGTCATCAAATGATTTTTGCAAGTTAACTGGTCCGGAAAATACTTATCCCGGACTAGTTAACTTGCAAAAATCATTTGACAACCTTCCCGATTGAATTGTTTTCTGAATTTTGGTATGGATGAACTAGACTTGACGAGGAACATACACAAAAAATTTGAGCAAAAAATACTACCGGGAAGGCCCCCAAATGGAGGAGGCAGGACGGGGGTTCCTGTCCGGAAATTCCGGACAGGAATATTTGTGATATATATATATAGTCTTTAAGCGGACTGTTTGACCGGTCCCGGTCCCGAACCCGACCTGGCCGGCCGGATGGCGGCGCGCATGAAGATTTAATTCCACGCTTACCGTATACGGGTATCATTGCTCAACAAAACTTCGGTGCCCTAAGGGCCCAACCCAATAGCTAAGGAAAGCTTATAAAAGGACACTTCCTTAACTCTCCATTTTCGGTGTGGGACAAATTCTCTTATGAAACTAGTTTTTAGCGAAGTTTGGGGAACAATTTCTCATTCATTTCTAAATGGTTTTGCACACTTTAATATATGGTTGCGTTCACCTTTCAGAGTACTATACGTTAGGACTTGGTCCTACCACAAATTAGTTGTGGA